AAAAACATTATATATATATATATATATATATATATATATATACACATTTAATTAACACTATTTTGGTAGACTGAAGTAAAATAAGTCAAGATATATTCTAGTTTATATTTATTATATACAGTTTTTATTTTATATGTAATACACATACAAACAAACACTAATCTTTAAAGATTTGGGGTCTAAACAGGGCCGGATTTATGCATCGGCATTCTAGGCATGTGCCTATGCTCGCACGTCCAGAGGGGCCCTATTACAATACAGAAAAATAATTTTTTATTCTATGTGCTACCAGAAACAGCAGAAGATACAAACTATTTCCAATATTTTTTCTCAAGAAATTACATTTTTTATCATCTACCAAAAGCACACTTTTTTCTTCCTGCTCTTTCTCATACAAACGCACACGCATATAGAACATACTCAGTCCTTCGCACGCACAGATCAAACATGCACACAGAAATTGTCAGTGCTGCCCCCGACATTATCAGTAAAGTAGTTTTGCAACTGAAAAGCTACATGACATTTCTCAGCATGGAGGTGGTAATGTCGCTGTTTTTGAAGCAGTTAAACGTGCATATTTTTTTCCGTGACTGTGTTAACAGGTTGCTTAATCTTTCTCTCACTCTCTCTCTCTCTCTCTCTCTCTCTCTCTCTCTAATAACCACATTAGTCTGCATATTAAAGGCTCAAGCTTCCATTACTAGCTCTAAAATAAAATGACGTTTTGTGATCAACAATGGGATTCTACTATAGAGAACACTGTAACGGTTTCCATGGATTATCATTCATTGTAGCTTGCTGTTTTGAGGTGGTAATAGTCCATATTAATAGGAGGGGGTGGGGGGGGGGCAAAAATTTATTTTTCCTATGTCACATTAAGAGGTAAATCCGACCCTGTGTCTGAAAGCGGTTTTCCCCCCTTATGCTCACCAAGGCTGCATTTTATATAAAAAAAAATAACACGCAGTAAAAAGAGTAATGTTTCTTTGATGAATATAAGGTTTAGAAGAACAGTATTTGTTAAAAAAATGTAATCTTTGTAGCATTATAAATGCCTTTACTGTCACTTTTAATACATTTTTAATCAGTTCCAAATTTACATGGAAATACAGCTTAATTTTGTCAAATATATATAGTATAGAGTTCATCTTTATTTACAAGTACATTTGGAAATTAAAATAAAATCAAATGTCAAACTGCTCAAAATAAAGGCACATAAGACAGCCTATCAGTTGGAGAAGCAATGAGAGATCGAGCTAGCATCTTGGCTCTCCTCTTAAATTGCTTCTTATATATTTTTAGACACTCTACAAGGTGCCCATTTATTCCCCTTGTCCTTTTTCTGTCATCATTCTCATTGGAACAACAGACAATAGCTGCCTGCTCTTCCAGAGCTCTTTAGTCAAGAAAGGGCTATTTCAACCAGACGTACAACTAGGGCAAACTGAGCAGAACGCTATCAAATAGTTGTAAACAAGTAGAGCGGGCGAAGAAGGTTTGTGATCGATTTGTTTTGTTTTTTATATGTGTGTGTGAAGCAGCAGCTGTTTTTTAGACAGCCTTGAGATCACATGTAGTATGTTGTGCTGAAGACCTTTTGTGAAGAATTGTACCTGACAGAAATGAACAAAAAGATTGTTTTCACCCTTGCTGAGAGAGATCCATGGTCCCCTCTAGCTGTGCGTCTTCCTGCCCTGAAAATCTTGTCCTGCTGTGTTAATTTTCCCTAGTGAAAGTCGTAGAATACAGCATTAGACTTGTAGAATTGAAGTGTGAGTTGCATCACTGCTGTTGTACTTATTTGCTTTTAAACTGCAGATTTCTTTTACACTTAAAAAAAAAGTTCACCCGAAAAATGAAAATTTTGTCATTATTTCATTCAATTTTTTGTTCCAAACCTGTATGATGTTTTTTTTGTTTTGTTTTTGGAACAAAAAAGAAGCAGCTCTAACTGCTAATACTATAACACTAAAATTATAATAAATATATTAGCCACTATATGTTGAGTCTTATGTAGCCATACATCATCTTTGATTGCATATTGCATATTTTTGTTCAGTTTGAGCCTCTGAATAGCTCCATATTCTCATAATATCATACTGATGTATCATAAAGCCTGATGTATCAAATATTATAATCAACAAAAAACACATATGCAAATGTTTTTCATATGTCAGGCTTTACAGGTTTAAAATGCAGATGTATGGCTGGTAAATCTGCTATGTCTCGTTCTCTTACTCTCAGTCTTTCTTCCAGGGGTGAGTTGTAGCCTTCAGGCAGGCAGCTGGGTCAGGGAGAGCGAGTACGAGGCAGGTGACGGCCCCCTTCGTGCCCGCGTGAACAGAGGCAGCCTGGTGAGTGACAGGCCGACATGTGAAGGGTCTAACAGTTATCGACATATTTTCCTCTCTGGAGAGGAGGAATAATGGCTGAGTGAAACCCTCTCCTGGTCCTGCTCTTTAATGGTCTCTCATTGTCAGTCTGCCATGTTGATCTGCTCTCCTCAGGCTGGCTTGGCTTTTATTACTGACTGTGCTATGGATTGTGGCTTGTTTCGAAAGTCACACATTTCCCCAAGGACAGAGAATTCAAAGAGAGGGAACACACTTGTGACTTTATGAGAGGACTGTGCATTGTGAGACAATATAGGGCACTGGTGATTTCCCTAGGCCACGGTGTACAACTCGAATGCTTTGCAGTGAAGAAGCCAAGCTTGGTGTTCTGCTCTGATTGCTAAGAAGCCTCACGACACAGTCTAATGGCAACCTCTCTGCAGTTCTTTAACATGAAAACCGCAGGGTTTGGATGCATGGTAGGATGAGGTGATGTTTTCACAATATAAAATTAAGCAACATTGTGAACATCAAGATGATGATTTCTGTTTGTTTGTTTGTTTAGTTCAGTTCTGTGAATCAGTTCAAATCATGTGATTCATTGAAAAATCTAATTTGGTGATTCATTTGCAGCATCATTCAGAAAAAAAAAAAAAATATATATATATATATGTGTACTGTATATACAGTATCTCACAGAAGTAAGTACACCCCTCACATTTTTGTAAATATTTTATTATATCTTTTCATGTGACAACACTGAAGAAATGACACTTTGCTACAATGTAAAGTAGTGAGTGTACAGCTTGTATAACCGTGTAAATTTGCTGTCCCCTCAAAATAACTCAACACACAGCCATTAATGTCTAAACCGCTGGCCACAAAAGTGAGTACACCCCTAAGTGAAAATGTCCCTTCTGTGAGATACTGTATATGTATATATGACATTTTTTGCATTGAATATTTTTCCATTTCACCATCTATACAATAAAAAAGGTAACAATGTATGTGAAATATTATTACAATTTAAAATAACTGTTATTTTAAATAACTTTAAATGTATTTTAAAATTTAATATATTTCTGTAATGGCAAAGCTGAATTTTCAGCAGCCATTACTCCAGTCTTCAGTAAAAAAAATTAAAAAATAAATAAATAAAATTGAAACATAATTTTTACTGAAATAGAAAAGTTTACTGTCAATTTTGATCAATTCTAATACATCCTTCATGAATAAGAGTATTCATTTGTTTTTAAAAATTCTTACTAATCCCAAACATTTCAATGGTGCTGCATATTTATTTAAATGTGGACATTTATAAATGTCTATGTTGATGCATATTGTTATATTAGTGAACGTAGTTATTGATTGCTCATTTAGTAAAAAACTGTTTTAAAATCATGCTTTCTTTACTTTTTTTTAAATAGTTTTTTGCTGTTTTACTAAAGCATTTTTAATCAAAATTTTGTCAACAGTGCATAAATATGCAGAGATTATAAATATTGCCAAAAGACTGAAAAGTATTAAGAATTGTTTTAGCCGCATTCCATATTGTGCTGATAAAGATAACATAAGCCTTATAAATGCTATACTGTAAATACTGGTTACCTCTGCAACAGCATTAGAATGCAAAGGACACGTTCCATAGTTGAATTCTGCATTTATTTGTGTAATATTGCAGCTATTTATTGTGAGGCTTTAGTGGCCCAAGTCTTGCATGTTGACCTCTCAACAAGTGAGTGCCAGTGATATATAGGTAGATCTTTGCTTTGGGCATCTTACGGCTTCCCTGAGCTGGCATTGTTGCAGAACTATCCAGACCAGAGCAAAAGCCTGTTACTTTAACCCCAAACATTCTGCAGCAGCTTTCATCAATTACACAGAAGTGGCTCAGACTTCCACTGAACCATAGCTTACCTCTTTCTTTACACTTATCTCTTTGTGGAAGGTTGTTAGTTGCTCTTAGTTGTGAAGGGCTCTATTTAAAGGGTTCCTGCAGTCATGGGAAAACCTGGAATAATCAAGGAATTTTAAATGGAATTGGTCAAAAAGGGTGACCAATATTTATGTATCACCTTTAAAAAAGGCAAATATTTATGTCTCAATGGTGACTTGCAGCTAGCACACTTAGATGTATGTTGAGCTTTGGTGCTCATGTGGGAATTGTGGGCTCAAATCTGGCCTGTACTGTGACCCAGTCAGCTTCCTCTCTCTTTTTCCATTCAATTCCAGTCACTTCCACTATCAACATGGCAAAGACTCAACAAAATGCTAATAAACACAATGCAGGTCATTATAGAATGCTATAAATTATATATTCAGGTACTTTATTAATGCTTTGTGTACTAAATCGCTCTAATTTTTCTCGTACATCTTTAGCTGCCTCCCCTCTTTGATGGCTGCTTCTTCTACATGCTGGGCTCCTTCTGCAAGCCACCTAAAGACAAGCTTATTCAGTTAGTGAAAGAAGGAGGAGGACAGCTTCTGAATCGCCAGCCCAAACCCGAGAGTGACGTCATGCAAACCCTGAGCATGGCAGCATACCATGCCCAGCCTCCTTCAGACCAGGTTCTCTGCACCCAGTATATCTTGTATGATCCTCAGAGCTCCTACAAACTCCAGAAGGTCCGGGTAGGTAAGGTTTGGTCGGCTCCATCCACGTGGCTTCTGGACTGCATAGCTGCCTTTCAACTCCTGCCAGTGCTTGAGCACTAGGTCATATACTTACTGTATTATTATAGGGCTTTTTGCACCGCGGGAACCTTTTCATAGTACCAGAACTAATTGTGGAACTACCCACTTTTTGGCGTTTTCACACCACCGGAACTGGGTGCGATTTTAGTACCGGACTGCCATTTTCGAGAACCAAATTAGCTCCTACTCCGGAGCAGGGTCTAACCAGCACAACTGGTACTAATCGTGACGTAAGTAGACATTGATTGGCCAAACGTGTATGAAAACGCCCTCACCCGCCATGATTTAAAACGCTGTGTAAACATACTGTAAACATTGTGTCAACTTATTTCGCAAGTATGGAGAACAGCGATAGATGGACGGATGCTGAAGTAGAGGCAAATGTAGCACTGCCAGTTGTTGTTGGAGATTCTTAGTCCTCCTTTCCATTCTTTCAATCGCTTTACGTATACGACGACATTCCATGTCCATTATTGTGAAACCCGCGAGACACAACAAAAACACAGCTCCGATCACAGCGTCCTCCATCCTCCTGTTGTTAATGTTGTTCTCCTTTGTTTCTGTTGTTGAATGCCGCGCACAAATGATGTCGCTGTTGACCGGCTTACGTCACTTCTTAGTACACACTCTCGGTGCGAATGCAACCCTTTAAATGGTACTGGGAAATAGTTCGCACAAAATCGTCCCAGCACTTTAGTACTGTTCATTTAGTTCTGGAACTAAAGCGATGCGAAAGTCCCTAATGTTTCAGCTTCATGACATCAAATAAAATCCTTTTTCTTTTTCTGCATTAGAGAAAGTAGTTTTTATCCTTATCGGAAGATAGAGACATCATAATTGCAGTTTTCATCATGCTTTATGTGAGGCAAAATAAAGGGTTTGAATATCCCCTGAAGATTCAAGGCACGTGGCACGTCTCAGGAGAAAGTATTTGCATGCTTTTTTAGAGTCTATTGTACTTGATTTTTTTCCCCAGGCCAAATTATGCCATCTGAATGCTAGAAAATTATGAAAACATTTGCCATTGTTAGGATACATGACCTATTTTGAGCAGACTCGCAACTTGTGTGCAAACAATTCAGAGATCTTGTGGAAATTTGATTTATATTCACCCACATCTTCATCAGACTTTTAAATGCAATGCTAATTACATAGACAGCTTTTGTTTTAAAAAAAACAAAAGGTGTTCATAAAGTCCACGACAGGATCATGGGATTCTGGCTTTCTTTGCCTCTACAGATGATGAGGTGGCATTTCGATTAGATGGAAAAAATACCCAAAGAGAATAAAAGCAATTAATTTTCAAATGTTGACCCTTTCAAACAAGCAGTTTTTTTTCTTTGCTCGTTGTTTCTGCAAGGGTTAAAAAAATGAAAGATTTCTGGTCTTTGGCCATCTCCCAAGACGCAGCTTTCAATGGGATTAGTCAGGGATGCTCCTAATTGCTATTGATTGCTGTGAGCTGCATTAAATTGCTTCGCCCTCATCCTGCAGGGACGTGGAGGGAGGCAATTAGTGGTGTGGATAGGGTTTCATGGGGTGATTAATTGGAGGGTATTGAGGGTCCTGTGGGTAGAGGGAAACATGCACCCAACTCTTAACACCTGACTTTGCAAACTTTATCATCTCCCTACTAAGAGTTAAGAGTTTTCAAATGCACTTTTACAGAACAATGTGTGCAGACAGATTCAGTCCTGAGGGCAAAGATTCTCATTATGTATTGTTTTTTGCAATGCTGGTTCTTATGTTGATTTTGGTTAACAGTATATCTGAGGATGTCATTAATATAAATCCTGGCTTTTTTATTCATCCAAGATCTTTTATCCAGAATTCATATTAAAAAGAAAGGCTGGAGATATATATTTATAATTATTACCTAAACTCTACCCACTATCCAACAGAGGCTGATGAAAAATTGCACTGTAAATCTCAGAACTACTGAAGAATGATCTTCTAACTGTATTCCAGCTTGAAAGTGCAATGTCTCAAGCCCTATTCGGACAAGACTAGTTTTCCCTTAGGAAGATTCAAACTTTATCAAACTTTATAGGAAGTTTATCTTGCACATCTTGGTAAAAATTACCCACTTTTTTTTTTGGCCAGCTTTGACATCCTTTGACAAATGATGCCAGGGATATATAAACACCATATCACGTAGCCAATTGTTTAATCCATTTAAAAATATATATTTTATATTTATAAATATATTTTAGTTTTTTTAGATTGCCTTTGCCTTCACCCTGCCTTATATTTATTATTTAAAAAACACTAACAATTTAACTGTTAAATGTAATCTTTAGTCTCAAGTTTAAAAATGAATATCCATTAAAAAAACATAATTAATTTAGCATTTAATAATATTAATAGTAACATTTCTAGTCACAGCATTTTTTTTTTGGACTTGTTGAATATTGTAACTACACTAAATTACTTATTTGCTACCTAGTGCACTTCATCTGATTTTACCCTTTTGCATTATTTGGGCTTCTGGCCAGTTGGCAGTTCAAATGCTTCCTGCTGATATCCTATCTGATGTGAAAAGAAAATGAAATCAATAAAGAGAGCCCCATCCTCTGTATAGTAGCATCAGGTACGATCCTCACCTTAATTCATTTCTTCCCTTAATTATAAATGATCTTGTGGGCACATTTAGTTTTTAGCAATCACAGACATCCATTGTTAATAACTGTAACTCAAAACATCTGAATAGTATTGCCGGTCTGTATGTTTGGAAGCAATTCAGTTCTGGCTACTGTTTTTGCTACTTTTGATGAAAGTTGCAGTTCTTCAATCGGTTTTTAGGGGGCTCTAGGATTTCTTTGTGCCACTTCTTCCTGTTGTATCAGCACTTTAATGCTCTCCTAGACAATGATGGATGAGTAAACCTATGGTGGAGTTACAGTAATGGTCTGAGTTCCTCTCTTTCCTGCTCTCTGACCCTCAGTGTGGCGACTGTTTTCTTAGCAGTAGCAGAATAAAGTGAACGTGCTTGGCTCTCCCTGTGACAGAGGGAATGTGATGTTTGCACACTGTAAATGAATGGCTGGTTATAAAATACTGCTCTGTCAGCATTTAGGAACTGCTCATGTCTGCAGTATCAGATGCCCTGTGCATCTGGCTGAAGATGAGCTAGTTGGATATGCTTGGAAAGATAGGAAGGTAAAAAAAAATAAATACATACACACACCGACTTTTTCTTTTTTTTTTTACTGTATTACACTTTTTTCGGTCTATTTAACAAAATAGTTTTGTCTTCATAAATAATACACGTTTTTAATCATCTTTCTAACTCTGAATTCAGAATACACATTAAACCCTTCAAGATATTTACATGTTTATACATTAGGAAGGGCACCTGGGCTTTGTATTGCCCCATAAAAATTAAACACAAATATTATAATGATAATAATAATAATAATTCTCACCTTAAATAAAAGCACTGTTAAATGATACATATCAGTGAGTAAAATTTGTTTTAAATTAATAGTTCACAGAAAAATGGAAATTCTGTCATTTACTCACCGTAATGTTGTTTCAAACTTGTACGACAAACTTGTTTCTTCTGTTTTTATTCACTTATCATCTTGTTTCCTGCTGCAAGTGAATCGGGACATTGAGTTGAACTAAATATCCATCTATTTTGTGAATGAATCATTCAGAAAGATTTTGTTAACGTGACCAACTAATTAAAAAAACGTTAAAAGATCCAGCATAAAATAATAATGTATTCACTAATTGGACATCTACTTCTCTCATAAAACCTCTTGTATATATTTTGGGCTGTTTCTAGCTATTTATTGTATGGCTTTAAATGACTTGGAATGTAGCATGAATCATGGCTCAGTTTTATCCTGTTTTGGGCTCCTTTTGAAGCTTGACAGCTACAGTTCCTGATTCATTGAAAGTGCATGGAAATTCACAACTTGAAAATGAATACAATTCTTCAACATTTCTCCATTTATGTCCTATAGAAACAAGTCATTTGGCATTGCAACAACACGAGGGTGAGTAAATGATGCCAGAATCGTCGTTTTTGAGTGAACTGTCCCTTTAAGTGTAATGACCCTCAGTGCCCGTCATTAAGAAAAGCTGATTGTTTAAAAGTATTTTTTCCACTTTCATTATAGATGTAGTTTGTTTGTTTTCAGGCACAAGTTCATATAACAGTTTTGATTAGAAAAAAGAACAATCTTCCAGCTACAGTTAGTCAGTGTCTCAAAAAAAAGAGCAATGGTTCACTTTTACAAAACTGACAGTGAATGGCGGAGACATTGACATACATTGAAGGCCATGTGCACAAAAAATCAGGTCTTTTTAGAAGCATGATGCAGAACACAATTTCTTCACAGATGAAGCTGGTTCTTCTTTCAGTGGACATACTGTAACTTATGATTCAGGACGCTGTGAAAAGTACAAATGAGTTGTATTCCACGTCATCAGGCCTGGCCATTGTGAATTCCATGTGATTGTCAAAAGAGAACAGTGAGGAAAAAAATCATACATTAGGACAGATGGGAGTTTTAAGTGCCACAGCTGACTTTCTGTCAATAAATAATCAATAAATGACAGTTTCACTAATATCTCTCATGATGTCCAATGATGTGCAATATGCTGCCAAAACAATAAACAGTTGTTCAGTTTAACGAACATTTAGGGTTAATATATAAAAAACAAACACTGTGTTTTATCCCATACTCCCAAATTCCAGGACACATTTTCTTTCAATACAGGCTGAGACTTTGATTACTTTAGGGCAAATCTCATAAAAAATTATGAAACGAGCATGTCAAGGGCATGTTTCACCCCAAAATCAAGAGAGAGATTTTGCATAAAGAACATTAAACCTATTTTTAGCACCATTTAGATATTGTAATGTGTCATTTTATACTTTGTTTTTGTCAATTAAGCAAGTTCCTTTCCTAAATGTAAAAAGGAAATGTTTAATATAAATATACATATTTATTCATAATGATTATGAATAAAAAGTAGATTTACTTTGTGTCATACATGTATTCAATTAT